ACCAAGCGCCGGCTCTCGCACGAGTAGATGTAGTTTGGTTGTTGTCCTGTGTCTTCTGGTCTCTCTTTTAGGATTAGTTGTATTTGTTGTATTTTCAAAAATATATATGTTTTTGGGAGGAGATTCCCACTGTCCTACTCACGCCGCCATGTTGGCTCCCTCCTCAGTGTACCTTTTTAACTTCATTACTATTCCCTTCTTCCCTTGGATCTTACCTGACCCAAACTATTCTACCATCCCCATGGCATGTTTTCCATGGCTGTCCTTTATTCCTGTTTCCTTTCCTGGAGTGTTTCTCTCTTTTTTTGTTAAATTCCTAGTCAGCTGGTAGGGCTTAGCTCCAGTGTTAGCTCTCTCCCCACACTTTTCCAGACTTTATACTGGTTTGGAATGATTTGTACTGTCTCTTCTTTATTAAATTCTTGAAAATAGCAGTTATGTGTATTCACCTTTGTTCTCAAGACCTTTTTTCAGTACCTGGGATATAGTAACCACTCAATGAATATAAACTCCACTTATTAGAATGCTCAGGAAAATGAGCTATTACTATTAAGGTAAATTGGATTTTTGGTTGATTCAATAATGTAACTTTTATTTCAATATGAGACAGCTATTCTAAAATTGATTATAATGTCTTTCTGCCTTAGTATTGTGGAATGAAATATTAACATTTTGTGAACTTTTAATTTATGTTCATTTTAATGTTAATTTTGAAAACTTGGTTCAAGATAATGGGCTGCATAAGGAGGACCTCTGGTTGTTCTTTAAAAATCAGGTTTCCAAGTCAGTCTCATTCCAAGCTTACTGAATCTGAACCTTTACTTTTGGGACCCAGAAATGTGTTCCTAACTGAAATTTCCAGGTGATTCTGATGTACAACTAAATTTGGGAACTGATAAGAAGGCTGAGACATACTGACCAAGGATATAACTTGGATGTTTTTTTTCCCTCCCTTTTCTTATAAAAATTCTGTTGTTTTTTTCCTTGTGGTTTAATAACCTGTACAATGCCATTCATCTCCTTCAGCAAAGCATCCTGTTAAAAGTGGCTGAAACCATTAAAAGCTGGATCTTTTCTAAGTGCAATAAGAAAGATGACTTACTTCACAAGTTGGTGAGTGTTCACTTTACTTCTTGTTGTCAATTTTCAGGACTCCAGTTTATTAGTGGGACTATCAACAAATCAGAATTTATTTTGCTTATGATTTGGACAGTGACTGACTTTTATTAGAAATTCTGGACAGTTTTTAGAAAAGAAAACTGCCCAGTTCATTAAGTGTTAAATAACATTTGTGCCACCTAAAAAAAAAGAAAAAGAAATTCTATAACCGGACATCTTTGAATTTGGATTCAGTGTTGTTTCATAATTCTAAGAGATTATTAGTCACTTAGAATAGAATATTCTGGTAGTTATTGAAACCTTGTTGGTTAGATTACTGGTTTTCTGCTGCCATCTTCCTCCACTGATAGCTTCCTCCACTGATATCCCCCTCAGTAGGGGGATCCTCTCCCTTTTCTTCAGGAACTTGATTGTCTCTATTCTTATCCCACAGCCTGTGACTAAAAAGTTTGGGCAAAATCAAAAGTGGTTCCTCCCTGATTTATTTATCACTAATCTACCATTCTCTGACAACTTCATTTGTAAAATTTAGTCTCCTGGAACTGATAAATCATAGAATTTATAAATCACAGACAACATTGGGAGTCTTTGGGATTCCTGTGAGGCTTGCCTTTTTTCCCTACTCTCTGCTATAATTTATCTGTTGCTTGGCATGAAACCCCTAAGAGGGAGTACTTCAACAGTACAAAATCCAGGTAGTATAGCTAAAAACTTGAAGTTATAAAATTCTCATGGTTCTCAGAATGAGTAATCAAGTTACAAATAAGTAGTTTTCTGCTGACCTATGACCTTAAGATTATAATTATCATTCTTATAAGGTATTGTTTGTAAAAAGATGTTTACAAAGTGCTTTCACATTTTGATTTGGTAATCCACACTGTAAGGTTTAGTGCATTTTAACAGTTGGAAAGTCTGAGGTTCAGACAGTTCAGTTTGGTTTAAGAATAGTAATTAAGAGAATTGTTCAAAATGTTCAGCCAGAAAGTGATAGAATAAGTCTCCTGGCTTCAGAGCCCAGGCTCTTTGCAGTATGTCAATGCCCTTGCTAGCTTGAATATTACTATGTTTTAACTGACTAAAATTACTATTTTAGCAATCCAAATGGGCAAGTTCTCTGTTCAGGGTTTCATCTTTGTAGGTGTATTGAAAAAGTCAGTGAGGTATCTTGTCATCTACATAGAATATCATCTCTATCCAGGTGGAGCCATCCTCATTCTTCAGTGATACTAGGACTGTGATAAGGTATATGGATCCATATACATTTTTCTGTGATTTAATCATAGTCTGCATGGTCTGATCTTTTCATTCTTGGTTCTTTGTCACTGGCCACTCATTTCATGTCATGTTTAACTATAAAGAACCAGCTTCTGAATGCATTCCTATTGTGCCTATTTTTTGGAGAATTGTAGTAAGTACATAAGTAAGAAATACTTTACTTGTAATGGAACAAGGAATTGCCCAGTTGGCTTCTGGCATGAGATTGCTTGACTTTTTCCCCTTGATTGTTTTGTTAGCTATACAGATATTGAACCAATCCCTCCTTCCTTTTATAAAAATATTAGCAATTGCTCCATGATATATCTGAACATTTTACCATTGTTCACTTTTATCATTGTAGTACTTTTTTTCTTAAAGATTAAAAATAAATTCCTTTATAGTCACTATGATGGTATAGCATTTTTAATCAGCTTTTCACCTATAAAGTGTTTTCACACATTATCTCATTTGACCCCCACCATGTTTACGAAATAGCCCTGTACAGTAAAAGTGTATAAGATCACTGAAGTATGTTGACATGGCTAAGTTCCCTTCTTCATCACTAGAAGCAAAAATTGAAACCTCTTTATTCCTTAGCTATGCTTCATATACCCATTTCATTCCATCGTTCTAAGTTACCTTTCATGCCATTTCTCTATTTAGTCTTAAAGAGATCCCTATCATCTATCAAATGAAGCCCAATTCATCACTTGGGCATGAAAGAGTCTGCATAATTTGGCCCTGATCTGCCTTTCCAGCCTTATCTACCAATATTTTCATTCGCCAACCCAATCTTCCTTTGTTCCATATGTATTCTGTATGTCTGTTTTTGTGCAATTAAACTGTGGTGGAATTCTTCCCATTTTTCTGTTATTAGAATCTTTTCAGTAAGTTGTCCCAGTTTTCCCTCAAGCCTTTCACGAACTTCAGCCTGCTGGATCTCTTATTTTCTACAACACCCTAGTAATAATTATCTTTGCTATGTCCTGTAAATTTCTATATTATGTGTGCTTTATTATGTTTTAATTATTTAATATGTATTAACAACACTAACACTTATATGGAGTGTTTATCATGTGCCAATCCCTTAGTGGTTTTCAAATACTGACTTAATTTAATCCTCACAACTCAATGAAGTAATAAGTACTACATTTATTCTCATTTTTCAGATGAGGAAACTGGAACAGAGAGGTTATTAACTTGGTTAGGTTGTGAATCCAGGATATAAACCTAATTGCTAACTAGGTCTTGGAACTCAGATTTGTTGAGAGTGAGGCAAAGTTCACATAGTATACCTCCCCACAGCACAGAGCATCCAACTATATAGACAATAACCTGCGAGTATTGAAGTCCACCAGAATTAGTACCTTTTAGACTTCTTAATTTGTTTGAGATGTGGACCTGAGTCCAAACAGGGCTGTTGTGACATGTTTCTTAATTTAGCAGGTATCTATTTTCCCAGTAGTTTGATTGTTATATATATTACAACACAGTTTCCATATTTTCTACCGTTCTTATACTTATGATGAAAGAGTAATATATAATTTTATAATTATATAAATTATTCAAGTTCTTACTTTGTAGAGGCAACCTAATTACTAAGATAATGCTGCTTTAGTTATTTTGAGTGTCTTTGTCCCTGTCAAGTTTATCTGTATGCATAGATGATTATAGATTGTTTATCTGTTACACTCTTGAATCAAATATTCCCAAAGCTATTAATGCTGCCTCAAAGCACATTGGTTTTAGGGAAGCATTATCCCAGTTTTGCAGTCAGGTCTGATGTCAGGCTGGTCCTGAAGGAAGTGAGTACCTCATAAGTCTGTGAAGAGGGAGCACTGCCATTCTATATTAATAGCTTTCCCCTCTCTATGAGCCTTAGCCTTCATTTAGTTAGGCTTCTGTAAACTTCTATATGGGAACATAGAGGTGTCAGAAAAGGTATGATTTAAAGTTTTTGTAGCAAAAACTTGCTTTTTAATACTTACTTTAATATGGTCATGTCTGATTAGTGAATCCAAACCAAATCATAAAGCCAATATGTGAAGATGTATTTCAAAGATTACTTTAAAAGTTACCATATTCCACCTCCTGTCCTCCTTGCTTCAGTTGCCCTCCCTCCCTAACAGTAGTACAAAGTGAGTTAAGTGGTTCACATTTTATGAAGGTGGGGTGGGACATGAAATAACTAATTGTTCCCTAATGTTAGAATCAGGATTCTGAGAGAAGAAGCAGTTCAAATATGAAACATAAAAGTGCTGTATGGATACATGCAGAATGTATTAATAGATGGTAAGAAAGCCACAGCAAGCTAAAAGGAATGTCAACATGCCAAGATGTTCCTGTTTTGGATAACTGAAAATAAAACATATCCAAATAGGCTTAATATTAAAAATATTCTTCTCCTCCCATAAAGGTGATATGTAATCCATGATCAGGAGGACATGTGCTAAAACGTACATGGATCATTGTCTTCTTACTTATGTTCCCATTATGATCAGCTAGGCTGAACTCTGCGTTGTGAGAATAATTAACTGACTGAGAAAAGAAAAACCATCACCTTCAAACTCCGAACCTAACTGGTTTTACTTTAATTGGTAAAGGCCTTGTTAATTAGAAGTTCTCTTTATTTTTTTATAAGTCTATTCCTAAATTTGATACAAAGTAAAACTTCAGGTTTTCTGGTAGAGCAAACTATATATAGGGAAGCAGAATCGACTACCAAAGACTTAGGATTTGAAATCAGAATTCTGGAAATTTCTTTAATCTCTTTGGGCTTCAGTTTACTCCTGTATAGAATGGAGAGGAGGATGATAAATGTACATCATAGGGTTACTGTGAGAAATAATGAATCTGCTCTAACTTTGCAACCTCACATCTGACCTCTACTATATACATGCTGCACAAAACTCATATCGATGACTTGGCAGTTCACCAAACTGGAGAGGCTTTTATTCTGTCCCACTCACTCTTCTAACTCTTTAAGCAGGTCAGTTCTTGTTCATTCTTCAAGGCTTAGTTCAGGCATCACCACTTGCCTTCTCTGACTTCATTGCAAGTTATAGTCCCTCTATGCCATTTTCATAATACCCTAGGTATATACCTCATTGCACTTCTTTGCACATCATGTTGTAACTGTTACTGTTAGTCCTATTCATTAAACTATGAATTCTCTCAAAGTAGAGACTTGTATGTCATGTTCATTTTTTTGTGTCCTTGGTGTCAAGCATGGTGCCTCTATGTATAAGATATTTCTTGATAGATGGATGGAAGGAAAAGAGGGAGGAATAAATGAGCTGGTATATGTGAAAGCATTTTGTAAACTCAAAGTGCTATGCACACATTAATGTGGTTTTTATATTACTTTACTGATATATTTTTAATATCGGAATGTCCATTTTTAGAAGGCCTTGATCCTGCTGATGTAATTCTTCAATATTGGCTATTCTGTTAAAATATCCAAGGGCAGCATCTTATATTACAGTATTCTATTTTCCATGTTGTATTAGAGCAATTTAATTAATTAGGCTTAACTAAAGAGGTTTACTACTCTATAATTACTTCACATCTCTCTATTAAAAATTTGTACTGCAGATCTGGTGGCTCGATAGTTTCCACCTCAATAATTATTGTTTCACATTTAACAGTGAAAGTAAAACCCCATCCATCATACTAAAGATGGATTGGACTGTTGTTTCTTCTTGGAGTCTATTCTAAAAATAAATACCTCTAAATTTTATTAGCACATTAGGAGCTTAGCATTTAATGCAAAACTACGTATGTATTAATACCTCACTTCTGGTCTTTTAATGGCAAGGATATTGGATTCCGACTTGACTCACTGCATACCATCCTGCAACAGGAAGTTCTGTTACAAGAGGATGTGGAACTGATTGAGCTACTTGATCCCAGTATCCTGTCTGCAGGGCAACCTCAACAACAGGAAAATGGACACCTTCCAACACTTTGCTCCCTGGCAACCCCTAATATTTGGTACTATCCAGAAAACATCTATCACTTGCTTACAATATAGAATATTAGCAGAGGAAATCTGTCGTCCATTGTAAGGCATTATAAGCATTTCATACATTTTAGTATTACAATTAATGTCATGATATGCTAGAGGTTTTTTAAAAAGTACCTTTCTAAAAAGTAAATACTATTTAAAGTGAACTTTGAAAGAAACTCCAATTTGATTGTTATATATTTTCAACACAGTATAGTAAGTTCTGTGTTTAACAACCCAGCAAGCCAAAACAATGTTACCCATATATCTATGCATATGTGTGTATGCAAGCCTACCCAGTTCTTTATTTTTCTTTATAATTAGTAGATTATATCATAATCACATTGTGGAGACACCAAGGGTAGGATAGGACATGAAAGTATACAATCAATTACTGCTTTGCTGGCTAAGAAGAAATCATAAGGAATATGACGATTCAAACTACCCTAAAACTTTTTGACCACTTCAAGTATTTGCACCTAACAGGGTCTAATCCATTCTTTTAAAAAAGAATAGCAAAAAGGGATTTTATATATAGAACTGTTAATGACCTCTTCCTATTAAAGTATGAGTTTATTAAATGAACTAAATCGTTGCTCAAACTGCTCAGGTTATACACTGAATTGCATTCATTGGCCTCAGTGTACTGAATTTGTCTGTCCTTCCTGTCATACTGACAAGCACTTAATATTGTAACAACAAAGTAAGATGTTTTCCAAATATGTATCGTTCAGATATCTTCATGATGAAGTAAAGCATCTGATCCTTTAAAAACAAAAGAATTTAAAGAGCTGCTGGAAGGAAACAGGTTTTAAGAATTTTACAACTTTACTCTTAAGTTTCCTTTAGCAAATGAGATTAAGCAACTCTGAGGCCTGCAAGTACTTTGAGGCTGTTATTAATACATAAAAGTGTGTGATGAGATTTTTCTTTATCTCACCAGTGTCATCTAAAAGTAAAAGATTGTAAAATAGGGCACACAAATTCTAAGAAGCATTCTTATAGTTTGACTATATTCAAGTATTGTTCATGTTATTTTTCAGGTATCCTCAGACACGTCTCCCCTCTATTCACCTCTTTTGTTATGTATACACATTTTCACCAAAGCCTTCATTACTTAAAAGACATATTTTAGTCTACAGATTTGTAATTGACATAAGTAAACATTTTTCATACATATTTTTAGTTCAGTTAAAAAAGTGTAAAAGTATAACACTTATCCATATCATGGTCTGAAGTAAGTATGTATATTCTGATTTGTGGTGATGATTTCTTACAACTAGATGACTTTATTCAAAACAATTACTTATCAAGTATATATTATTTCTAATTGAAAAATGCATATGCTTATACTATGTTTCTTTGCAAATAAAGTCTGATTTTAGGAAAAAGGGACTCATCTCTAAATATTTTTCAAGTATTGTATTATTAAAGTTAGTATTTTTAATATTAAAAATTCATAAAAATTAAAGTATTTTTACTTTTAAACTTGTAAATTTGGATTTTTAAATAAGTAACTCATCTTTCTGTAGTGTGATGGATTTGTTTCCTTGGTTCCTCTGTTTTAGGGATGTCTCAATGCTATTCGCCTTCATTAGTTTGCTCATTATGCTTCCTACCTGGTGGATTGTATCTTCTTGGCTGATATGGGGAGTGATTCTATTTATTTATCTGATCATAAGGGCTTTGAGATTATGGAGGACAGCCAAACTACAAGTAACCCTAAAAAAATACAATGTCCATTTGGAAGATACAGCAACAAATAGTCGAGCTTTTACTAACCTTGTGAGGAAAGCTTTACGACTCATTCAAGAAACTGAAGTCATTTCCAGAGGATTCACACTGTGAGTTCACTTTTCATTTTATTTTGTAAATAATTTATTTTCTACTACATAGTTAAATTAGAATATTTATTGCCTATTTTTATTTGTTGCATTCACAGAAAAAGTCTGTGCTTACTGCTTATTAGAATCTATTAACTGCTAGACTAAGGAGTAAATACATTATATGCTAGACTTAATATATTGTGTGACTCAGCATATCTACTTTGAGAAACCAAAGTGCTTTGAGAGTCATAATAATTTCTGTGTGTTACCATGTGATTATATGAGTTAATATAGAGTCTAACATTGAACTTAGCATGAAACGCTACCCCCAAAAATGTCTGTTCCTTTACTCCCTGTCAGATGCTTTCTTTCCTCAGTTCAGTGATAGATGTATCTGGCATGAATTCATTTTGAAAAATCTTGCTATGTATAAATAATATTGTTTAGGTAAATGTTAACAGATATGGTGGCACTGATACTCTCAGAATATCCTGCAAATAATGATGTTTCACATTGCCATGAGAAATTAAATATTCACCTGTCTAGCTATAAGGGTATATATAGGCCGTTTGTTCTGTTATTAAAGGGAAAGTATTTATTGAGTACCAATATATTCCATTCACTATGCTAAAAAGTTTTGAATACAACTAAAGGCAAACAATTGTACGTGGTAGAGCAAATGTTCAAGTCCATTCCATCTGACACTAAAGCTTGTTTACAGTACAGTAGCCTGTCTGCTAAACACTAACAGATGATGGTTGTACTATGGTGTATTTAGTAGTACATACAACTTATGTAGCCTTTGCAATCTATAGGTGAGAGAAAATAAGTATATGGTGAATAATAATTATTGCTCTAAATTAGTTGTATCTGGAAAATCTTGGAAAGGGGGAGGGGAGCTGAAGAACCGTTGGCAGTCATCGCATCCTTCACTCTACTCTGCTCTATAATATTTAAACAGTTAGACAGTTTTGACATAAAAGCTGTATCTGGAAAATCATGAAACAAGGAAGTTGAAGAATCTCATTCTTCACTCTCTCGTGTACTAGATCAGTGTTTAAACAATCCTAAGACATAAAGATTTTGTAACTTCTTTTTGTACTCAATTAAAAATGTAACAGTCTTTAGTGTCTGTTACTTTTTGTCCTTCCACTTAGTAGGGCAAGTCTGCTTGTTGATGAGCACAGCAAATATTAACTTGTTTGAGTGTCATATTTTAAAAATTAAATATCACACTAAGAACAAGTAGTAACCCCTTTTCTTTCTTGACTTGCACAACATTTTATTGAGAGGACTGACTAGCAGAGTGGCTATGTGTCCAACTAATGCTTAGGCATGTATAGAGGATTCTGTGCCTTTTGTTCATTGTCCAGCTTTTGTCCTTATGTATAAAACTGACACAAGATTAAAATGGACTGGTTAGGTGATTTACCTCTGGATTATGACTTCTGTCTCTTCAAATGCAGACAGGCAGAAGAAATGTTGGAAAAAATTGTGCTTCATTTGTCTCCAAATAACTGGATAATGGATGAAAAAAATTTAAGGAATAATAACTCTTGAATCATAACTTTTAAAGAAATATTTTAGTTTTTAAAGTTGATTTAGTAAATGGAGCATAAACAACAGTGTCATATATTGAAAACATAAGTGGTTTTTTTGCCTTAATTTTTCATCTCTAGCAAATAATTTAACCTTTCTTTGCCTCATTCCCGTATTTTAAAATAAGCTTATCAGTCATTGTCCTATATTTTAAATAGATTTTTAATGCCTGAGAATATGTTTTAATTTAACATTTTAAAGTTTTGAATTAGATGTCTTGTTTTACAAGTTTGTGGTTATAGTATAAGAAATTTATAAATTCCAACACTTTGTTTTGCTGTTGGAATAGGTTACCCATTAGGTGAAAAAACGTACCCCATACCCATACAATATGTACTCATCATAGTTTCATTTGTAAAAGCATATACATTGCGAGGCAAACGTGCTGACCACTACACTAGGGAAACTGAAAGCATATACACTATATGTCATTGTTGCAGATAGGTATTCCCCATTTATCTTTTGCAAAGTGCTGTGAAATGTGCTTCCTCTTGAACAGTTTTGAGAGTAGCTATGCTACTACATAGTAACCCTTACTTTGCCTTTCTACTTGCATTCCCCTGTTGGCCACTGGTCCTGTTATCTTTCTGCGTCCCCTACTTCATTTTGAGTAGGTAAGTGCCAGTGGCAGCAGGTGGGTAAGTCTTTTTACCCTACTATTTGAATGTACAGAATGTATTTCTACACAATACTTGATTGTTCTGTACAGGTGACCAAAAATATAATTGAGCATATGTAAGTACATAGTAAGAATGTAGACATGTTTATAATTAAGGCTTTCATACTTAACTTTAGATAAAAGTTTTGAAAGCTGCATGTAAAATAGTATCACTTGACTATATTTTAGCAGATAGAGTGCCTATATTAAAAAGTTGCAACTTCTTCATAAATATTCCTACATTTCTGCTACATTTCAACTAAAATTCACTGTTCCCCCATATCTGAAGAAGCCTTTATTCTTTGGGATTTTAATGTTTTGTTTGTCTTTTTTCTGGCGGCTATATGTGTATCGGAAATGGCTATTTATAAGACCTGAGTTGGGATCTTTATAATAATTTTCTAATAAAAACCATGAAAAAGGAATTTTTTCTAAGTTAAATAGAATAGTGGATTTAGGAAAAAAAACTTTAGGACACCTGTACAGTTGTATCACATTTTACTTTTCAAGTTTGCTTGACAGGGTCAGTGCTGCTTGCCCATTTAATAAAGCTGGACAGCATCCCAGTCAGCATCTCATCGGTCTTCGGAAAGCTGTTTACAGAACTGTAAGAGCCAACTTTCAAGCAGCAAGGCTAGCTACCCTATATATGCTGAAAAAATATCCTTTTCTGTTGTATGTAAAATGTTTCTGGAGCCCTGAATATGGATATTATAGTTGCATCCTGTAAAAGTTAACTCTAAACTGAGATTGCCTATTCTGAAGTTAATTTATATCATCACTTCTATTTTAAAACTGGGAATGCTATCTAGGGGGAATGACAGTAACAGACAGGAAAAAAGTTCTGCTTTCATGTGGCTCATTTTTAACAAGGAAAAACTTCAGGTCCCTCCCTTTACTGGTCCAAAGAATAGAAGCAGAAGAACCTGGCTTTGTTAGTTCTGACATTTTAAAAAATTACTGAACATAGCAAACTGCGTCATGACTTGGAAATAAACTGGCAACAGGAAATCCTTCCCCTTTCAAACAACAGAAGCCTTAGAGTCAAAGTGGCTAAGTTTAAATTTTGGCTCTATCAGTTACTGCCTGGGCGACCTTAAGCAAGTTTCTTAACTCTCTGTATGTTGCCTTAGTCATTTTTAAAATTGCAATAATAACATAATCTGCCTGTGTTTCTTTTGAGGTCAAATAAGTTAGTGCATATGAAGTGCTTAGACAGTGTTTGGCGTATAATAAGCACTAAAAGACTGCATGACAATAAGTCTGTCACTTAAATTTACTAAATCAGGAAATTCGTTTTGTTAGGAAATAAAGGTGGTTAAGATCTTTATTTTAGTTAAGATTCATATGAAAGTTACCTTATGAAATGGAGTGCAAAAAGACTATGGTGTACCTTCAGTATGCTGGGTATTATAGCACTGATAAATACAATGCTTACAGTTTACAGAGTGCTTTATCTTCTGTCATTATATCCTTGATACAAACTTTTTGGTAAGATTTTCTTATCTCCACATTATGAGAGAAATAAAATCTCCACTCTTACAGTTTGCTCAGTGCCTTACAACTAACTAGTAAGAGATGAAGTTACGTCCTGACCATAAGGCTTAGAACTTAAAACAATTTATATATGTAAAACCTCTTCAGAAATTGAGAATAAGCATTTTAATATTAATTAAAAACTTGCCCATTCAGTTCCCCCACTGCCTAAATACCTGCCTGCTATGTAGTAGGAAGGCAGAGTAAAAATTTGTGCAACCTACTTTTAAGGACTTCTGAGTGTAGTCAATAAATAAAGCTGGCATTCATAATACAGTGTGTGTACCCAGGGTGCCTTCCAACATAGCAGGACAATGTACTTGGCCTGCAGGGAAAGACAGTGCTTTCAGCGAAGTGACAGCTGAGTTGACCCTCAAGGAATGAGTAAGGGTTGACCTTGAGGATGATTACCACATTCCAAGTAGAAGGAAGCAAATATGTGGAATGAAATAGAGATAAGAAAGTGTGCCATGTGAATTGAAAGTAGGTATTCATTCAGTAAATATTTATTGAGTATAAACTCAAGTGCCAAGCAATATGCTAGTCACTATATACTTATAAGCATAATAGACATGGTCCCTGCCTCAGGAAACTTACAGTGTAATGAGGGATGCGTAAGTAAGATGGGATAGCCTAACAGAGATAACAAATTGTAAGAGTTCCCGGTGACAGTCACTTTTTTAGATATATAGACGTAGCAGTGAGCAAGACAGATGAGAGTTTCTAGTGGATGAGGTAATGAATAAAAAGTAAATCAATGAGATGTTCAGATAATTTGCTATAAAGAAAAAACCCAAGGGACTAGGACAAAGAGTGGTTGCTGCTTGTGATTGGATGGCAGGGGAAGGCCTCCCTAAGAGCTGACATTTGAACTGAGATTTAGGTGAGGAGAAAGATTGGGTTCCAGTTAGATGGACCAGTAAATATAAAGATCTTTATATATGACAGCAACTTTGAAAATGTATGGAGAAATGGATCATTTCTTGTCAAAATACAAATGTCTAAAACTGACCTAGGAAAAATTAAAAACTTGAAGAGATTTGGCATACAATAAAAAAAACTTTCATCTAAAAATTAAAACACCTGCTTATATGTAAATAATGCAAAATATGCAGCTCTAAAAAAGTGACAGAGTTCTTTAGGTACTACTGTGAAACGATCCCCAAATTTTATTGTTGAATGAACAGAGCAATATTTATACTACCCTTCCATTTGTGTGTGAAAGACATTGTATATATATGTGGGGATAAGTAAATATGTGTGCATGTGTACATTTACATAAATATCTCCATGTACATACACATTTCTATTTCTATTTACTTTTATGTATGCATTGTCTGCATAAAATATCTTGCAAGATACACAAGGATATCTTGAAGGAAACAAGTAACAATGATTGTCTGCCTTTGGCTAAAGGAACTAAGGGAATGGGGGAGGAAGCAATTTTTACCATATACCTTAAAAACTTGTGAATTTTTGATCTTGTGAATATATTACATATTCAAAAACAGAATGCATTAAAAATTTTTTAAGTACAGGTCCAGATGGTTTTTAAGTAGGGAAAATAAATCACAAAGTAGTTATCAACAGATGCCTATGAGCAAGGGAAATGGGGAAACAGGACAGTAGTCCATGTCAAACAACTTTGAGAGGACAGGCTTAGTGCTCCTTTTATCAGGAGTGTATGTATTTCAGATAATTATGAGCTTATGATGTTCTGCTGTATGCATTACTGGGAGGAAAAGAGAAGTTTTTACTGAAGCACAGTGAGGACCTGAGCCCTATACAATAAAGTAAGCAGTAACAGTTTCAAAAGGTACCTGTCAAAAGTAACTAAGTTAGCATTTAGCACTTGTGAAGAATTGAACTTTTAGTACTTTGGATACAAAAATGTTATTCATATATATCCTATAAAATATCTAAGGTATGTTAATACATTAAGATTTTAAGATTCATTTCTTTTTTAAAAATTGATATTAATCTCCTCCAGTCAAAGTTCAGGATAAAGATTAGCAAAGGTAATTTTGGACAGTTATGCAGTATCCTTTATACTTTAATGAAAAGGCTTTGTTGATTGCCTTAACCTAATTTAACCTACCCCCTGAATTCTGAGAGTGACAACATAACCAACTACATCTGTGTGGTGCCTTTTAAGGAGCTGGGCCTTGGACTTAGTGAAGATCAGATTTCAGAAGAGGAAGCACATAACCTTACAGATGGCTTCAGCCTGCCTGCTTTAAAGGTAATCCATTTGTGGAAGGGAAGGGCTAAAAAAAAGGTAGGTTCACTTGGATTGTGCTTTTGCTTTCTGAAGATGAATCATGTACGTTACCTTTTATGGTTTCCTGAATACCATCACCATAATAGCCTTATTAGCCTTAATATAGTCATAAAAGCCATTGTAGACTTAAAGCTACTTTTATAAGCTGAGAGCATTGTAAAGATTAGATAAGGAGATTTTTATATTTTGATTTCAAAATACTTAAAATTCTACTATAAACATTTCTTACCTTAAATCAGAGTTTGGAGATAAGTGAGTTGTTTTTGCTAATAGGAAACCAATATAGGTGATTTTATGACTAGCCATTTGTTTTAACAAACATAGGTGAATTTATAAGATCTACATCTTCCCTTAGAAAATCTCCAAAATTCTTATTTAGAACAAGAATTTTTTCATAATTAGAAGCCACATAAAAGAATATATTTGATTATGTAAGAATTAAGCTTCTAAATGCTGCATATTTTAAATGAAAAAAATTGCAATGATTTATATAAAAGGACTTGGATTTTTTTCTGTGTAAAGAGCACTAAGGTTTGTAAAACCTATAGAAGGTAGGTCAGGTGCATGACCTGGCAGTTCACAAAAGAACTAGAAATAGCCAGTAAATACAGTAAAACTTTGATTCTTATTTGAAATAGTTCTTATTTAAATGAAAGAAACTCAAAAAAAAATAGTAAGTAAATATTTTGCTAAGGGTATTAAAAGGTGATAATATGTATTATCTATGAAGACTGGAGAGTTGGTATAAGTTGGTTAACTTTAGAAGTGCATACCAATCTTCACAAAGGTGTGTGCATTTTACTCTAGCAGTTTTAAACTTACAGATTTATCTGAGGAAGACATCAAAGATAAAGTATGTTCATGTTATTACTACAATAGCAAATATTAGAAACAAATTAAGTTTGTTATTGTGACATTAGTAACGATTTATTGTACAGTCATTGAAGTTAGTAGAAAAATAATAGCATGGAAAACATAAATGAAAGCAAGTTACAAAAACTGTGTGGTATGGTTTCAATAGTAATTTTAAAAAGTCAATTCAAATGTCGTTGTAAATTTCCTCTCAATATTTAGCAAATTCCACTTAAATGTTTATTTGCATTTGGCAACATGAAAATAAATGCAAGTGCCATTGACAGGTGTTGTATTTATTAAGATCAATTTTGCTTTGAGATTGTATAAGCTTCTATATCTTAAATTTGCAGATTCACACCAATGTTCTGGGTTTTTTTGTTTTATTTTTCTTTTCTGTTACTAGAAATTTGCCTTGACTTATTCCTACCCTCATTCTAACCCACTTCAGTAAATGGCACCACAGAATTTATTAAGCTAGAAACCTGGGTACCATCCTTCTTACTCCTTACATCCCATCTGTCAACAGATTCCTGTGTCTGTTCGACCTTCACAATGTTGAAATCCATCCACTTTTTCCAGTGTCCCTTCTCACCGTTGTAGTACTGGCCACATTGTTTCTTCCCTTGGCTACTGCAATTTTTTTTTTTTTGGTTTTCTAGGCTGCAAAGTTCTTATTGGTGCCTTTAGTTTCCTGATTGTCTGTTTCAGAAGGTAATTTGACACATAAAGAGCCTTAAAAATGGTATATGCTTTGAATCAGTAATTCCACTTCTGCAAAAGATGCTTGTTGTGCCTGGTCCTTTTTGCTCACCCATATTATGTATCCTGAGGAGACATAAAATATCTGCACTGAAGAGTCCTTATCTCACTTTTTGTATTTGAAATTTTCACTAGTTTTTAAAATTACAAAGTAGTATGTTTCCTGCTTTTTAAAAAAATCCATGTGACAATGTTTTAAATCAAAATTTCCTATTTACCCATAAACTGTGGCTATCTCCTCAGCCAGAGCAGCCTCCCTATCCAAAGAGCAAACAAAAAAATGTGTTTTAGAGTTTTGGTTTAATTGGATAAAATGGCCATGATTAGATAATAAATCAGTTTTGTTTTGTTTTTTAACAGTAGCTATGCTGACTTGATTCTTTAAGTAGCTGTGGCCCAAAACTCTGGAAATATTCCTTGATAATACTTTTTCTCTCATAAACAATCCATCAAGAGATTCTGTCAGTTCTTTCACAGTAAATCCAGAGTCTAACTACTGCCTACCTATAACCCACTTGTTTCTTTGGCCCAGTCATTCCTACTGTCTTCTTTTCTACTTTGTGTAAACTTTTAAAATAATTCATCAAGGAACATTCACTTCTAATAGATGTTTCTCATTCCATCAGCCCTTACTTTCTAGGATAGAACTATTCAAAATGACAATTGGTGTTACCTGCTATATTAGGATCAGAAGTTCCCATGCACTATCACTACATAATTTGATACAACATTCTTGGTTAATCTTGGGAGCTAGTTTGGGACATTCATTACTTAAGATAAAGTGAAAAATTTAAACCAGAAGTTAAGATAACAAATCTGTTGTTTGTTTTGAATTCTGTCCAGTATCTTTTTATTGATGTAGTCCTTTTTTCTGTTTTTTCGTTAGGTTTTATTCCAACTCTGGGTGGCACAGAGTTCAGAGTTCTTCAGACGGTTAGCCCTCTTACTTTCTACAGCTAATTCACCTCCTGAACCGTTACTTACTCCAGCACTTTTGCCTCATCATATTTTATCTGATGTGACTCAAGGTCTACCTCATGCTCATTCTGCCTGCCTGGAAGAGCTTAAGCGCAGCTATGAGTTTTATCGGTACTTTGAAACTCAGCACCAGTCAGCACCCCAGTGTTTATCCAAAACTCAGCAGAAGTCAAGAGAACTGAATAACGTTCACACAGCAGTTCGCAGCTTGCAGCTTCATCTGAAAGCATTACTGAATGAGTAAGTTTATAAGCCATATTAGGAAATGTCCCCACGGATAGCAACCTTCATTCTTGTGCCATTGTGACTGTTGGCTGGTATCCTAGCTAGAAAGAAGTAGCAAAATGGAGACATACAGCAGGAGGGATGGCTTAGAGCTATGAATGTAACAGAGAAACAATGATATGTTTGTAAGTACTGTAATTGGAAGTAGTAAATTACAATTTTTACTTTTTCTGATTTCAGCAGAAAACCTAGAAAGACAGCGCAAAACTGGATGTTGTTCATTCTATTTTTAAGAGCTGAAATGGAGACGTTTACTAAGAATGAGCTTGTTTTAGCTCTCTTTAAGTAGGACTCTTAAACTGGAACTGTAGTCTAAGAGAAATGTCTGCCAGCACTGACTAAATTATGAGAGGTATTGTTATATATATAGAGTAATATAATACTATTTTTCTAAATAAGTTATAGCAGATTTTTATGTTTTTCTGTAGCACAGGATAAGCATTTTGGCCCCAGTTGAATATTAAAATGTGGGGTCCATAGTTTTTATTTGTTGATATTCTACTTTGCATGGTATTGTTGACACTCTGCCTTGGTAAAACATAAGGTCCAATCATTCCAGTGAAATTTTTCTGTAATTACACTCACATTATAGGACTGGATCAAATGAATGGTTGGATTCATGTAGTGTTGTTGGTAATCAGGAAAGTCATAGGAATTTAATGAGTTGATAAGATTAAAGCTGATGTACTTGACCCTGGGCACCAGGCAAGAAGTGGAAGGGGAGGGCAACAATCCATTTGGTAAGGTTAAAAAATGGTTCAAAAGATTTGAAGTCTTAGTAAAATCAAAAGGCTTTTGTGAGTGAGGAAAGATGTGGTGTATAAAGATAGGAAATTAAGGTCAGAAAGACATTTTGATTAGATAAGTTTTTACCCATCAATTCAAGGTCTGTAAAAGGTACTTAAGGCTGATGTAAAAGTTAGGCATGGGGGAAAGGAAGACACTATGAGGCAGGGATATTCCAGTGGTCTGACGCTGCTGTTCTAAGAAAGCAGGTGAACGCTAACCTGCCTCAGCCCTGTCTCACACAGGGAGTATGAGAGATAAGAGTGGGTGACCAAGGTTGGATCATCATCAGAGGAAAACAGGATTTCAGTGGAAAGGTTTTATTGGGCAAAGCCAGAGTCTAAAGAATTGATTTTGACAAGAGAATCAGAAATACACAGGACATAATAGAATGTGTCAAAATGAGGGAAGATGGCTCAGCGAAGGAAGAGTGCTACATTTGGACATAAAAATGAAAAAGAAAGGCTTTTACTTTGGGCAGGGGTTGTGCATTAGGCATGGGAAGTATGTTGTTTCCTGTTTAAAAATGAAGTACTGTCTATATAATACCCTATGTCACCTTTCAAAATATTTTAAATAGAGAATATACTAGTCACAAACCATCATATCTGATTTGCTCTGTGGCACTGCTATGCACAACTTTAACAAGTGTTATCTAAAAAATTGTTTTCTGTTTCATTCCTCCCTCTGGATTGTCCCCGTTAATACTCCCACTCTCACTTGCCTACAGTAGGGCACTAACCCTGTAACCGTTCTCCCCACCTATCGAGTCTGCACTGCCGATTAATGTTTCTGAGAAATAAATTTTCTTTCTCACTTAACTGAAAATCTTACTGGTTTCAGAGTATAGCAGCATAGACTATAATAATAGCATTTATAAAGTATATAAAACATTCTATAGAAAGGATTTGCCATAATCAGACTACAAGCTGCTTTTCACTTTTTCTTTCTCACTTTTTTAGTCCACACAAACTGTGTAAATGCCTTTTCCCATGTACCACTTAGGATGACCTTCATCTTTTGTACTTGCTCAAATTTTATCCATCCTTTAATGCTACCTCAAAAGTACCTTTTCCTTAGCTGTTTCCTCTCTGAACCCATTGCTGGTAGTTACTTCCCCTTCCAAATTCTTACATAACACTATATTTATCTCTCTGTGGTACTATACTTTTGTGTCTGGACTCAGCACAGCTTTACAGCTTAAAAGCCATATGTCTGGGCAAGTATCTTCAACTCTCTGGACTTAATTCTTTATCCATAAAATGGAAATAAAATGTTACAACTTTTTATGATATTGCATTACATATATATTTGTATGATTTCTCTGGTTCATTGTTTCTTATAGGTAGTAGGTGGATTTAAATAATCCTTTCAGTTCATAAAATGCCTTGTGTGTATGCAAAAATATGTGTTGAATAAACATGGTATTCTTTATAAGCTTTGAAAACAATTGTGGTAAATACATGTAACATAAAATTTACCATTTAACTACCTTTAAGTGAATAGTTCAGTGGCATAATTTATATGTACATTCTTCTACAACCATTAACATCTTCCATCTCCAGAACTCTTTTCATTTTAAAACTTATTTCTTAAATAAGCCTTGTGAATTACAAATTTTCCATTTCATATCTTAGAAATCTATTTCTCTTTTTCTTTATACGCAGGGTAATAATTCTTGAAGATGAACTTGAAAAGCTTGTTTGTACTAAAGAAACACAAGAACTAGTGTCAGAATCCTATCAAATCCTAGAACAGAAATTAAAGTTGATTCAGCCCCATGTTCAAGCAAGCAACAATTGCTGGGAAGAGGCCATCTCTCAAGTGGACAAACTGCTACGAAGGAATCCAGACAGAAAAGGTACCATAAGAGACTTCTTTTGCATACATTTATCAGACATGCTTATCCCACTCCAGTCGGATTTTATCAGGTGTATTTCTTGTTTCCATGAGGAAACTGACTTGACAAAATATATTACTATTAAAAAAAAGTTGAATTTATGTACAAATAAATATACAACCTTAGTTCTTAATTTTGTAAATAAAAAATGACTATGATCTGAAAGTTGCTTGAATTATACACCACTTTTTTTTGTATCATTAATCTACAATTATATGAACATTATGTTTACTAGGCTCCACCCTTCACCAAGTCCCCCCGACATACCCCTTCACAGTCACTGTCCATCAGCGTAGTAAGATGCTGTAAAATCACTACTTGTCTTGTCTGTTGTAGAGCCCGCCCCCTACCCCTCCCACATTATACATGCTAATTGTAATGCCCCCTTTCTTTTTCCCCTCCCTTATCCCTCCCTTCCCACCCATCC